ACCTGGCAATTAGCAGTTTGGCTGGCTGTTTGAGAGTGGATCTGAAAATGCATCACAAAATGCCGGCAATGAAGGAACAAGCAAATCCATTTCGCAAAGACACTACGCATCAGCATTGATGATGATATGCTTCTTGCTCAGCTTCTCGATGTCCTGGCTCAAAGATCTCAAAGGACAAATGCCACACTGAACCCATCAGCATCCTTTGCCCAAAGTGAACCAGGTGAATTAAACTGCAAGTCCAACCAAACCTGCATGGAAAGGCTCCACGGCCAAACCCAGGTGCTCTGCTTTGAAAAAGGTCATGGTTCTCCAGCTAGTCTATGGCACCTAATAATAAGCGTCGAGAAGTAATGGAACCATCCACACACTTCTGACTGCTGTGAATAGGAAATCCTAACATCAGGCATATATAGAAAATTGAAAAGTAGCCGAAGGTAGCCTCAAAGTTCCAACTGGCAATCAAATCCCTTGGACCTTCATCTCTTCCAAATAGATCCCAAAGGAAGTAACGGGCTCATGTGCTCGTCCCCACGGCACAAGCAGCGGCACAAACAGCTCCAGCCTTCTCAATCTGGGACAGCTCCGCTTCGTGGCGCTCCTGTCGGCGTGTTTCTTTTTTCTCACTAAGAACTTCATTCAAACCGCCAAGAGTTCGCAGACTTCGGGCTCCTCGATTTTATACTATACATTACTATACGCTATGTATGCAAGTATGTATGCATCCAGAACCTCCTGGAGTTCCAGAATTCCAACCGGAAGACGACCGATGAAAACGTGGGCGAGCTGCGGGCTCGACTGGCCGGACTGGTGTGGGGTCCCCGTTTCGCAGGCCACACAGGTCCCCAGAGCTTGGAAGTTGGGTGTAAGAAACTCAACACAACATACCAAACAACTTGGATATCACAACATTCTTTCGAACGTTAACAATATATGCATAATTATGCATACACCTCTGAATGTTGTGTTGTCTCTGTTTGTCCTCACACCTCTCAGATCTCATGGAAGGGGGGCGTTCTTGGTCTACCGGCGAAATGCACAAATTTTCTTTCTAGGGGTACTGGTCCATATATGTTCAAAGAAGGACTGGGCGACCAAAGCTGCTGAAGGTCCGGAACCACGCATGATGCCCCTTTAGGGTCACCCTACTCTTTGAGGGTACCCGGCCAGGGAGTCTTCAGATCGCTTCAGCATCTCAGTATGACTCGATCTTGACGTTTCCGCTGCGGTCGGAGGCCGCAGACCCACCGCGCGTTGCGCTCCGTGATCGGACGAAGTACGAAGTGAGTGGATGGTTTTTTCCACGCCCAATCGGCTCAAAAGGACTACCAGGAAATCAACCATTACCCAAACACTCCATGTATGCCATATATATGCCTACATTGAAATGCATAACCAATGCCCCATACAATATTGGTTCCCAAGGTGCTTTTATCCTTTAGCCAAGCTCCAGTTCTGTTCTGTAGGCTGGCCATGTGTGGTTTTGGGCACTAAAAGAACACGTTAGAACCTTATGCACCATCCCTTCCTCAGATCTCCTTGCGTTTCATCTTCCCCATGGTGTCCAGCTTGGTAATGTGCGTGGCCCCCTCCACGCAGGAGGCTGTGGTGCGCCAACGGTTCTTCGGAGTGACCAATGAGGGGAGGTGCAAAAGTGTGATCCTAAAACAACAAAAAGGACTAACATAACGTATGACAGGAAGTAATATGCAGTTAAGTTGTATCAATCCTATCAATCCTACTAGCAGTCCTTGCGTTGATCTTGCGTTTATATGTAACTATAAATCCTACATACCAGCAACGAGGCCCATGCGATTATGGATGGGGTCCCCAGGTCCTGTTCGCGCGCGGGTTCGAAGGTACCGTTGGTAGAGTGTTGATGTCATATAGGTCTCCAAAGAATCATTTCACTCCCGAAAACTAATTGTCTTCGTAGTGGAAAACCACCTATTTGTAGTGGAAAATGATCTTCCAAGGGGCCATTCTCCACTTGCATGTTAGTCTTCCAGGGTGTAGTTTTGGTATGTTTTTGTTCAAGCAAAAAGCGGACAATCCATGTCACCTCTTCTTAAGTGGACGAAGTCCGATATACACTCTGACGACATGGAAGCGCACAATGCTCCCTGGGAAGTCTACTTTCATCTACTTTCCTTTAAACAAGGGTTGTCCACTTCCATGTTACACATGTGATGTGTTCGTCGGAGTGCACATCAAATCTCTGAAGCCCACGCTCCAACACAAACAAAAAGGACCTCCGGATCCAACCAGCTACCTCCGCGCTGCTCGAAACCGGAACTTCTTCGGTCCGCGCGACTCCTCGCGCCCCGCGGCGTCTCGTCTTGGCTGGTCCACCCATCTCGGGCCTGGTAGGCCGTGTTCACCTGCCGCTTCGCGCCGCGGGGAGACGCGACGGAAGACGCGACGGAAGACACCGGGAACGACGCACCGCACGACCGTGGACCGCGGATGTAGTTCACCGATCCGAAGCTGGACCGACGTGGAGTATGCCATGTTCCGAAGACCAACCCAGCGGTTTAGGGGGGGTCCATGTATTAAATCTGCAGGGGAGTGTGTAATGAAATGTGGTTTGAACATCTTACTCAGGTCCATGGATGTGCATGGGCTCATCTTCTGCCTATCATCATGGAAGCTGGCAGGAAAGGGATAGCTGTGATGGTTCTCCCAGCCCAAACAAACAAGAAAACAGTGGATGCTCGTACTGATGCTCCTGGGAGGACCACGCGCTATTCCCACAAGGAAGTCCAGGTGCGAAAAGAGCGGTTGCCAGGTGCCTGTTCCCACTTGCTCTTCAACCCCTCGATCAAATCTTTGCGCTCGTCTTCGACCAAGGGCCTGGCGAACAAGCATCAACCGGAAAGGTCAATGTTTGGTTTGAGTCAGTTCGGGTCTCCACGCAGGATGGATCTTCATCTCTTAAACGGCTTATGTAGCTTGGTTGAGCCGACTGCCTGCACTAAAAGTACGAGTCGTTTCACAAAGAACGACGTTCCTGATCCGCAAAGCAGCACGACAATCTCTGAGAGGAGTGTCACTGCAACCATCATGCACTGCACCGCTCTGTGGAAAAGTCCCGTCTTCGCAGGATCCGCGCGGATGCCAACACACCATGCAAACCAAATCAAAGAAGTGGTGTCACTGCGGACAACTATCATACAGGTGGGTTCCCAGGGGTATACCTCCAGGTTCCTTCAAATCCCATTTTCACCGGAGTTCCGTTCTCGGAACTCCTGGCCCCAAAGGAATGATCGATGTGACCCGAGACCCCCGGGGACTCCATACATGGCGCTACGCCCTGTTTTGTCATTCGCACGTCTTGGACCTAAACGAACCGACCAAGGCAGGCCACTTTTTGCGTCGGAAGTCAAGTACATTGTAATATAGTATATGTATCACTATGTTGGAAACACATCAGCAAGAAAGCGACCAAGGACAAACGAAAACGACATAGTCATTGGTGGATACTGGGCTTCCTCCATCTATAAGCAGCTCTAAGTTCAACATTGTTGCATCTCTTCCTTCAGTCTCAAGTCACCACACCTTAGCAGCTATAGCACCCCGCCCCTCGGCGACTGGCCTCATCCTGGCCGCTTCTTCCTGCTCACGCGCCTCTTGCAACCTCGGCTTGGCCCGGCCGTCCCCTTGCCCCAGTGAGGGCTGGAACTGTCGATTTGTTTGGCCCGGCCGTCGACTTCCTCATGTTCCCGATCTGTTCACCATGTGCCTCAGCACTTGGCTTTCTTTGGCGGACAAAGGTCTATATGGATTAGTACTTTGGAATCTTGAAACATCGTCTTCTGCTGTGGCACCCTGTGAACCCATCCAGCTTGCCGCACATGCACCACTACACCGGTTCCATCGCTGCAAGGTCCGTTGGTCCGTTTTTTTCTCGGCCAGGAGTCCAACTACGCCTGAGAGGAGTCCAACCGATCAAAACCCCAACTCCTAACCCTTGACCCAGAAACCCTTGACCCTTCGGACCCTTGACCCAGAAACCATGCCAAATGCAAAGGAAAAAACATGTCAATCATCGTTTCAGTGGGAGGAAAGTGGCGTTTCAGGTAGAACATGACCAAGCGGCAAACACTCACTCTCTCCCACAACATGTAACATACCCATCGACAAACATGGAAGCCCAAAGAACATCTTTTAAGATATCTTCTCAATGTTTCGATGGTTGAACAGCCCTCCCAATGGAAAACAAAAGCATCCTTTAAGGGGTCATCACCGCCTGGTTGGTCCTAAATTCACTCCTTCTGAAACGGTCTTTCATCCGCTTGAGGTCTGGTACGCACGGATGTAGGAATACTCTGCGTCAATATCCTGCCAGCGCGAGGCGTAATCATCACAAACGATCCAAAATCCAAGGAATCAAACGATTAAAACAACCCTCCAGGTTTATCAGCATCCGGAATCGCTGAGACAGAATCCTTCCAACATCTATCAAAAAAAAAGGTCCAAGCTCTCGAAATGGTGTTAGCCACCGGGCAGGATCAGTTGGCTACTCAGGATCTGAAGAAGTCATGAACACCCCCTGGACAAAAATAGAAAAAAGACAAACAAACACTCAACAAACGACATAGAGCATCTCCAGCCCTCCCATCTCCAGCACAGTCCTTCTTGATGTGGGAGAGATACTTGGGCACCTTTCCATAGTCCTGCGAGGCCCGTTCGGCCCTTCGGCCCCGTCTCGGCCGTCTCGGCAGCTGACCGGTCGGCAGGGTGGCCCAGTCGGTTTTTCCATCGACGTGACATTGATGACTCAGATTACTCGAAGAAGGCTGACTTATTAGCTATATATAGTTGTATGTGTGTTTACTTGTTAAGTTGGCCCAATTCAACTGTCAGCAGTTGAATTGGATAGTCACCATCATGGCCCCACTCACAGAAAACCTTACTAAGTCTTTTTTGGGGTGATGTTGGTTCTCAACTTTGCTACAAGCAAAGCAGGCACAATTGCTCGACTACCTGAACATAACATGCTAGGACTCATGCTAGGCTAGGCCATGTGCCGACAACAATATGCAGAACCACAGGTCATTATATATACCGGAAAGCCTGAGAGTAGCCGACTTTAATCCCCACCAAATCGAGAACGCCCTGAGGGAACAAATATCGAAGCTCTTGACTTCAAGCACATTTTTTAGGACCAAGCATGCTTAAAAAGCTTGGAGCAGGGTTGCACGCACGGTTTCTAGCATTCTTTTGCCAGTCAGGCGGGTGGAATCGAGTCAAGGCCAGTCTGTTTAGAGCAGTGAATTCACGTGCTCCATTTGGTCACGGCCTGTGGTCAGCGGTTCATAGTCCTCAGCAACTCGGCGCGAAGCCATCAAGGACACGACCATGCAAAGTCTTTGATTCAGTGCTGCTGTTCTTTTTTGTTGCAGCTTATTAAGAATTTGTTTCCCCAAATCCTTGCATTCTTGCGACCCCCGTCCACACCCACATACGCGTGCCGATTGCAGGAGCAGCATCGGTGGTTGTTCCGGTGCGAAGCTCCGCAAAGACTCAGGCGGACTCCTCCGCCTTGGGTTCCTCTTTGACCTCAGGTGATGAAAGCGCCATCTGAGCACGGATGCTTGGTGGGGGAAGCCTAATTATTAGGTTGGGGTCACCGAACTTGCATCACAATCCGAACCCTCCATGGATGATTCATCAGTTTCAGAATCATCCAATATCATATCTCATGTTTCTTGCTCTGGTTGGGTCACTTTCCAGGAAGTCTGATGTGATTCGGCCACCATGTGGTTCTCTCTCGGGTTAGCCCACATCATTCACGAGCCAAACTCATGCTGCGCACCACCAAGCTCCCTCCCTGTGCTGACCAGGCGGCCACGGTATCAGCTCGGATGGCACCCTTCTCCAAGTGTGGGAAGCGCTGCTGCTCAAGCTTGAGGTCCTGACACGCCAATCGCCCCTACAAACACTCCTTGGCACAACAACAACAACAACAACAACAACAACAACAACAACAACAACAAC